CACCCTGCCCCTGGAGCCGGGGCTTGTCCCCGTTGGGTCAGGGTGGTGTCGGGTCAGCCGGCTTCCCGGGATCGGGTCGCCTGCTTGGCCTATATCCTTCCTCCCGGGCGTGTGTCTCGCCTCTGCAGGGCGGGGAGGTCGCGGCAGCCTGGAGCTCCCCTTACCTCCGAGCTGCTCCCGGCTGCAGACAACGGGAGCTGGGGCCGCGGCCCCCAGTCACTCCTCCCGGCGCCACTGACCTGCGTGGACCCTGCTGAGGGTGAGGCATCCCGCGGCCTGCAGAGTCCTCCTTCCAGCCTGGGGGGGGGGGGCAAGTATGTTCCCCGCGGGCGCCTCCCGGCCCCTCCGGTGTGGAGTTGGGAGTCCTGGTGCAGGGAGCGCAGAGCAGGCCTCCAGCCCCCCTTTGGCGACACCGTGGGCCCCCATCGCGTCCTGTGGTCCCTTCCAGGCCGCCCACGCCGTCGGGGCAGCTCCTGGGCCTTGCGCACCCGTTGGCTCCCCTCCCGGCACAGTAGCAGCGGCGGGAGAGGAAAGACGCTCTGGAAAGAACCCAAAGTGCCCATTAGACGACTGTTATTTTATTTTATTTTTTTTAGACGACTGTTATTATGTTGGTGGCTGTTGCAATGATAGAAGTCTGAGGTCTTAATAAAATCCACCATTTTCCAATTAGCTGTTGCTTAATTAGCGGCATGAATATTCAGAACCCTCGTGCCCTCCTGCGTCTCGCGGCCCCAGGCGTCTCCCACCCGGGCCTGCCCACCCGCTGCAGTCTCCAGTCGGGGGGAGGCGCTGGGAGGCCCACGGAGCTAAGGCCTCCTCCCGGCTCCTCGGGGCCAGACAGCCGCCGCCATCGGAGCTCCCCAAGCGGAAAGATGCCCTCCTTGCCACCGAGCCTCCAGCCTCCCAGGCCAGTGACTTCTGGAAAAGGCCCACCCTGAGCACTAGGGTGCGTGGGCCCTTGGGCGCGGACTATTAGAGCACTTCTGGGGCTGGTCGCCTCGCCCCTGCCTCCCCCTCCCTCCGCCGCTCTTCTTAATTCCTTCCTTTTCCCTTTCTTTCTTTCTTTTAAAAAATTTTAAATTATTTAAAAAAATATTTTATTTATTTATTCATGAGACACACAGAGAGAGAGGCAGAGACCCAGGCAGAGGGAGAAGCAGGCTCCATGCAGGGAGCCAGACGTGGGACTCGATCCCAGGACCCCGGGGTCACGACCTGAGCCAAAGGCAGATGCTCAACCGCTGAGCCCCCGGGGTGTCCCGCTTTCTCTTTTTTAATTAGCAACAGAAACTCCCCCCCAAGGCGTCTTCCCTGGATGCAGATGCACAGCACACAGACCAGGTCCATGCAGCACCGGGCGGTGACTGAGCCCTTGAGGACGCACAGAGTCTGCTCCTGCGCTTCCCCTGCATCGGATCACTTCCGGGACACTTCCTGGAGACCCAGGGAGCACCAGGTACGCAAGAGTGATTTTATTCCTTTTTTTTTTACCCCCAGGAAAGGAAATGGAAGGCCAGGGAGAAAAGTACTTTGCTCAACACCCAACAGCCGGGGAGCAGAGGAGGGAGGCAGCCCGGCTGCCGGTCTCCACCCCCAGCGCTTCTCAGGCCCCGAGCCTGGGGTCCCACGTGGAGTGCACGCTCCAAGGCCCCCCCTTGCAGGGGCGGCGGGAAGGGTCTCCGGGGCTGCGCTGCAGTGCATGTGCTTCCCCCCAGCCGTGGGGAGGGCAGAGGAAAAGGTCCACCCTGTGCCCTCAGGCTCCCCCCAGCTGCCCCCCAAGGATGGAGGATGCTCCCTGGCTTGGAGGTGCTTCCGGGGGCTGCCCGGGGCGGTGGGGGGACACAGGAGCGTTCCGGGGCGCCCGGCTGACCGTCCACACGCGTCTCATGGGGCACCTTTGCCATAGCTTGTGCTGAAGAGCGGTTTCGCTGCGTGATCGTGGTCTTCCTTGGACGCCGGTCGCTGCACCTGCTCCCCCAGCCCTGGGATGACGTCGGGGCGACGTGGGGCGACATGGGGCGATTCCTCGCAGATCACTGTCTCCCTGCCCCCAGGGGTGAGCTGGCCCCATGGCACCCGACAGGCATTGGCAGCTGGCTGAGCTCTGCCCGCCGCCCCCTGCACCCCTGCACCCCTGCCCCTGCCCCCTTGCCCCCGCCCCCTGACCCCTGCCCTCTGCCCTCCTGCACCCTGCCCCTCTGCCCCCCTGCACCCCTGCCCCCCTGCCCTCTGTCCCCTGCCCCTCTGCACCCTGCCCCCTGCCCCTCTGCACCCTGCCCCCTGCCCCTCTGCCCCCTGCCCCCCTACACCCCTGCCCCCTGCCCCTCTACACCCTGCCCCCTGCCCCTCTGCCTCCTGCACCCCTGCCCCCTGCACCCCTGCCCCTCTGCCACCCTGCACCCCTCCCCCCTGCACCCCTGCACCCCTTCACCTCTGCCCCCCGTCCCTCTGCCCCCTGCCCCCACCTTCTGCCCCCATGCCCCCTTCACCCCTGCCCACTGCTCCTCTGCACCCCTGCCCCCTTGCCCCTCTGTCCCCCAGCTCCCTGCACCCCGCCCTCTGCCCCCTGCCCCCCTGCACTCATGCCCTTCTGCCCCCTGCACCCTTGCCCTCTGCCCCCTGCACCCCTGCCCCCTGCCCCCTGCAGGCTGTGGCAGCTGCTTGGTGATTGTCAGGCCCTTAGGCCCAGGAGCCTGGCGGAGATGTGCCTGCTGGAAGCTGGGGGCAAGCTGGGGACCTCGGCGGCGCCCTGAGAGGCTGGGGCTGAGCCCTGTGTGGAGGGCACCAGCCCAGGCTGCTGCAGCCAGTCCCTGCCCCAGGCTGGCACATCTCCTCTGGGGCCGGAGGCTGCCCTAAGCGCAGGTGCAAGTGGGACGAGCCACAGCCACAGCCCTGCTCCCGTACTCTGAGGGCCTTTCCTCGACTGCACACCCGGGAGGCTGCACTGACTCACGGAGCCACGCGCGGGGCTGTGGGGGGGGGGCTGCAGAAGGGCCCCCCATGGCCTCAGGCGGGGATCTGGGCCCTGCCTGTGGGCACGCGGGGAACACGGCTGGCTTCCTTGGTGCGGGGGGGCCGTGACCCCCGGGGCGCCTGCAGCTCTATGTGGGTGGGAGCCGGGAACTTCTTATTTAGTGTCTATTCCAAGAATTTCACATGTTCTCGTAGCAGCCTTGGCACCTGGTTCAGTAGGAGCTGTTTAGCCAAGATTTTTATTTTCTGTGATTGAAACCAACTGTCTGAATGGTGGGTTTCACGTCCCCAGAGAAGCAGGACGTGGATGAGCTGGTAAGTCCCTCTGGGCACTGTGCCTGGGTCACGTCCGCAAGCCGGGGTGCCGAGCGTCCCCACTTCCTCCCAGCCCCCCGGCTGCAGGACCCCGGCCGCCCAGGAGGACACTGCCGACCTCAGCAGGACATCACAGGCCAGGCGCTGAGAAACGCAGCGGACGTACCAGGCTGGGGGTGCAGATTGTCCTCAGGCCAGGTGGGCTGAGGGGTCAAAGGCTGACCCCGCTCGTCGGCTGGCCTTGGGACCTCCCGCTTCATCTGCACCTTGGAATGTCACCCCCTTTCTCCACGCACTGGTTATTGGTGTTTATTTTTGACTTGCATGTGATGAAGATGAATCAGAGCTGTCTCTACCAGCTGCAGATGGTCCTAACTGGGGCATCAGGGTTTTGGGTCTCCATGTCCTCTTTGGGGGGACTCTTTTCTCCCTCACGACCAGCGGGACTGACTGGCCACATCCGCTCCTACCCTGTTCCCAGGACCTGCTGTCTGGGCACGGGAGATCCTTTGCTCCTGTCCCAAAGCTCGGTCCCCCTCTCCCCTGGTCCTCTGCACCTCTGAGAACATCTGTGCTGCTGAGAGCATTTTGTCTTCATAAAACAAGAGTTAAAAATAAAAATCAGTAACCACCAGGTCATCAAGGGAGGATTACTTCAGCTTTGGTAAATGCTAATGAGATCTGGGCAGGTGGTTCAGGAGGGATTAGTGCCCTAGAAGGCTTCCAGGGGGCTGGCCGGGGGAGGGTGTCGCTGTGCCCTTGGTCTCAGGAGGCCTGTGCCCCGGCATCCAGGCTGTCCTGACCCCGGGCACATCGCTGAGGGCTCCGTGGCGCTCGGCTCTGCTGGCAGAATGTGAGCCCAGTACCGCTCTCCTGGGAGCAGAGCAGTCCCTTGGGTCGGGGCCTGGGAGTCTCTGGGCTTGGCAGTTGTTTGGGGGGCCGGCTCCCAAAGGTGCCCCCATGAGAATGTGCTCCAGTCGGCTCCAGGAACCTCCTTGGAGCCTGGTTATCTGGGGATGAGTGAGACACAGCTGGCTCCCCTGGGCGTGTCGCAGGGAGCTGGAGGGGGGGCGGTGCCTGGGCTCACCCCGAGTCCTACCCCGGAGCTCCCACGAGCCCTCCAGGCCCTTCCCCTAGGGGTGCCCTCCCGGGCCAGGCTGCTCCCCCATGGGAGCCAGCCAAGCGCACTCTCGCTCCTTCGAGGCTCCTTCTCAGCGCTTCTAGGCCCCGCCTTTTCCTCTGCCCTCCTGGGTTTCTCCTCAGCACCTGTCACCTCTCACTGTGTCACACGCCGCCGGTGACCTCAACTAGCTGGAGGAGACACCATGGTGGGGTGGCAAACGAGCCAGTGGGTGTGGGGGGCACAAGAGATTCATGAGGGTTCAAGCGGGTTTCTGGGGTGACGAGCTATCCCGTGTCCTGGCCGTGGTGGTCAGCTCAGGAAGCCACGCGTACGTGACCCATTGCAGCATCCGGTACCAGGGAAAAAGAGTCCGTCTTGCTCCCTAAGACTCTTAAGATAAGTAAAGGCATCTCTAGAAAGGGAAGGGATGGCACTTATCCGGCAGCCCAAGTTCCAGGATGATGCATTACGAGCATGAGCCCTGCACTAGGACAAGTGTCTCCACTGCAGAACCCGCTCCCCTGCCCCAGTCCAACCCCCCCGGCCCCACGCGTAGCAGTGGGAGCTGGAGTGCGTCTCCCCCGTGTACACAGCAGACCCGATGCCGGGGCGTCTACGGGGACCTTGAAGGGATGGCAGGTTTCTAACACGGAGCGACACCGCCCTGGCAGGCCACTGGCTGCAACGACAAGGGAAGACGCCACGCACAGAATTGTCTTGTGCATCTGTCTCCTGGCCTCAGACCCAGTCATGGATTTCCTGCTGGTGATAGATCTGAGCTCTTTTGGGGCCTCCTCTCGCCCGTCCTGCCGAAGTCGCGTGCCCTCGGCCTCCTGCCGGCCTCACCTCTCCCTGGAGGCTGCTGGCTGCACCCACTGCGGGGCCCTTGCCCGAGGGCAGGACGGAGCAGCGGCTGTGGCAGGTGCCACCCTGCCACCCACTGGAGATGGTTTCTGTGATGATGCCAGACATCCCGCAGCAGGGCTCCCCCCCAGGTGTGAAGTGCCCTTTTGGGACACGCAGCTGTTCCCAGGGTGGAGCGCTCTGCGCTCCCTAAGGTGCTGGGAGGGCTCCTTGTCTCCACTTGGCCTCTTCCTCTGTGCGGTTGGTCCACGGCGGTGCCTGGGACCTGCCGGTGGAGGCCGCTGTGCTAGGCCAGGGACGGCGGCGACCGCGACAGCCCCAGCCCTGACCTCAGGGGCCTTGGCCTAGCCCATTTTCCTCCAACCGGGTCAGAAGCCTGGGCGCGGTCCCAGGGGATGATCGTGCATCCCCCACCTGGCTGTCCCCTCAGCCCGGGAATTGCGCTCGGTCCTGCTCAGAATGCCTCCTCCTTCCGGGGCCTTGGCCTCCTGCTCCGTCCCCGACAGGCTGTCCCTCTAGGTGCTGCTGAGCCGGGGGCTTTGCGGGAGTGCCTCCAGTTGGACTTGGATTCCTTGGGGATAAAGGTCCAGCTCTGTCCTGCCGGAGGCACCGGCCCTTCTGCACCCTGGGAACAGCCGTGCATCTTGCCCTCACAGAGCCGTTGGCTCGCACACTCCTCCTCAGTCCCCCAGGATTGGGGTCACATCGCGGGGAAATCTGCCCCCCTCCACAGCCCCCGAGGCCGAATTAACCTTTTTGCCCACCTACACTTGCCACGCTCTATTCCCAACTGGGGCCACCAGTTCTCACACCACAGTCTTGGGTCAGCTTGGTTGTCTCGGCGTCCCCTGCGCTGGCAGGACACCTGGCACCAGGGAGACAGCGTGACTAGTTTGTTCAACGGCACTGGTTATGATTTTCCAGATACCGTCCTTTCCAGGGGCTGTGAGTGTGTGCGTGTGCATGGGTGTGTGCTTGTGCATGGGTGTGTTTGTGTGTGCATGTGTACGTGCGTGTGCATGCATGGGTGTGTGTGCGTGCATGTGTGGGTGTGAGTGCATGTGTATGTGTGTGGGTGTTGTGTATGCATGCATGTGTGTGCATGTGTGGGTGTGTGCGTGCATGTGTGTGCATGTGCATGCATGTGTGCACACACATATGCATGTGTACGTGCGTATGTGGGTGCGTGCATGCATGTGTGGGTGCGTGTGATGCATGTGTGTGCTTGTGCATGCACGTGTGTGGGTATGCATGCATGTGCTCATGTGCATGCGTGCGTGCTTGTGTGTGCGTGGGGAGGTGGGTGTGCATGCCTGCGTGTGTGCATGCGTGCGTGCACATGCATGTGTGTGTGTGCGTGTGCGTGGGGGTGGGTGCTGGAGCTGCAATGTAGGAGGGAGGGAGGGAGAGGGCTCAGGGGGCACCGACCTGGTCACCACCCCTTCCTGGAGCCGCCGCCCCCCTCCCCGCTGCGGCCTCTGGCTGCAGGCTCAGCCTTCCCACGGGAGGCCCTGGCGTCAGTGTGCGTCTCCTCCTGCTTTTCCACCTCACGTCACAACTCGGGCGTGGGGAGGCCAGGGCCCCTTGCCGACTCCTGTCCCCCGAGGGGTGGTCACTGTGATCACGGAGGCTCCCCCTCAGGGTGCAGGCCGGCGGTGCAGCAGGCCCCTCAGGCTTCTGTCCAGGGCGCTCGGTGACGCTGGCGGGCGGGGTGGCGGCCGGTCCCCCCCTCGCATTTCCCTCCGCCCAGCCGCGGGCTTTCAGTCTCTGCTGGACTTCCTGCCCGAGGGGCCAAAGTCAAGGCTAGACTTTGGCCCGGAAGTCTGTGAATTCTTCTGAATCCGAGAGTTCAAAAAACGGGAGGGCTCTTGCTTCTCCTTCCCTTGTGTCCCTTCCTCACCTCCAAATCTGCCCGAATTGCCCCATGGGAGTCAGGGGTGGGATGGGGAGCAGCTGTTCCTGTGGCTGTTTCATGTTTTGAGAAATTAATTTTTGATTTGTTGTATGTTCCCCGCCTCGCTCCTCTCGCTCCTCTCCAAGGAAGTATCCAAGTCTTGCTCAGGCAGATCATATCGCCAACAGAGAAGTTGCTCACAGACCAATTTCCTTCTTAGCTTTTGTTTCCTGGAAGCCTGGGCTCCTGGGTGTTCTGTCGGGGATCGGAAGGGGTGGACAGAGCGTATCGGAGGGGAGATTCTCTCGGAGGGAGAGGCTGGTGGACCTTCGGTCTGTGAGCAGGGGACGTGCTCCCAACCTTCCTGTAAACGGGGCCTTTGCACTTGCTGTTTGCGCTCAGCCTAGAATGTTCTTCAGCCCACATACTCACACGACTTGCTTCTTTACTTCATGTAGGTCTCTGCTGCAGCGTTATCTTCCCAGGGTGACCCTCTCTGACCGAACCTACCAGGAACGACAACCTTCAGCGGTTTCTTTCACTTCACCTGCTTTATGTCTCTTCGTAGCATTAGGATTAATCACCTGGCATATATGTGTGCACCGTGTGTTTCTTTTCCCGCCCTGGAATGTAAGAGCTCCAGTCTGTCTCCGTCACTCCCGTCGCCCAGGATCGAGGTCAGTTCATGGCACCTACGGTGTTTGATTCCATGTGTCGGTTTGGCTGGGCCGTAGTACCCAGATATCTAGTTAAACACAAATCGGGATGTTGCTATAAAGATATTTTTTTTTTAGATACGATCAACAGTAGATTTTTAAGTAAAGCAGATTACTCTCCGTAAACTATGTAGGCCTCATCCTGTCAGTCGAAGGCTTCCTCTTTTTAGGAAAAAAAGAATGAGGTCACCCCAAAAAGAGAGTCCTGCCAGCAGACTGCCTTTGGACTCGAGTTGTAACATCAGCTCTTCCCTAGGTCTGCAACTTGCTGGCCTGCCAACTTGCTGGATTTTGGGTTTTTGGTTCCAATCTATCTACCTATTGTCTATCTATCTATCTATCTATCTATCTATCTATCTATCTATCTATCTATCATCTCTCATCTATCTATCATCTATCATCTATCTATCATCTATCATCTATCAGTCTTTGTATCCATCTACCCATCTACATGTATTGCTGTCGTTGTGTATCTCTCTCTACATCCTATTGATATTTTTAATCTGGAGAACCCTAATATGCTACCCAATAAGTATTGTTGAATGGATGACTAACTGAGGTGTAGGACCTCAGGAGGGAATGGCTTTATTGTATTTCTAAGAGATTATATTCTAGACACTGAGATTCCGAGGAAGGTCCCTATAGTTGTAGAGCCACACAGCTTTAAGGAATCACTGCATGTGGGCTTTGAAGGCATCGGAGGTGACTTAATAGACTTGGGGACTAGAGACACTTCCTCCATATGTGGTCCTTTCTTAGATTCTTTTTTTTTTGAAGATTTTTATTTAATCTATTCATGAGAGACAGAAAGAGAGAAAGAGGCAGAGACACAGGCAGAGGGAGAAGCAGGCTCCCTGCTCCCCCTGATGTGGGACTCGATCCCAGGATCCTGGGGTCACGACCTGAATGGAAGGCAGACGTTCAACTGTCGAGCCACCCGGGTGCCCCTCTTTCTTATATTCTTGAATGAGGTTGAAGTAGAGATCAAGAAAGGGATTTGGGGTAATAATAGTGACATAGCCAATTTACTTAGATTTAAAGAAAATTAAGTACTAGGGCATTTCTTGAATATCCACATGTATGGGTTAAGGGCTCTTAATTATTTTTTAAAGATTTTATTTATTTATTTGAAAGAGAGAGAGAGAGAGAGCACACAAGCAGGGGCTAAAGGTGGAGGGAGAGGGAGAAGCAGACGTCCCACGGAGCAGGGAGCCAATGTAGGGCTCCATCCCAGGACCCTCAGATCATGACCTGAGCTGAAGGCAGATGCTTAACTGACTGAGCCACCCCGACATCCTGGGTTAAGGTTTATTATCTTTCCAAGTTTCAATATTTTGTTCTCCAGGTTATGATGCCTCCCCCTTTCCCACCAGCGGTCACAACGTTTGACAGGTGGCTCCTCTGCTAAGAAGCATTATTCCTCCACTGATTTAACTGTCAAATATTTCTTGAGTACCTACTGCGTCCTCGGAACTGTGTTAATGCTACGGGTATACGTGAATTCTCTCTGCGGCATGACATATCACCTTCAAACTTAGTGGTTTCAAACAATCATACTCGCTTATTATCTCTCACAGTATATGTGGATCAGGGATTCAGGGGTGGCAAGGCCAGGTGGTCCTGGCCTGGTCTCTCTCATGAGATGTAATCAGGTGGCAGCCTGGGCTGTCATCAGCTGAAGACCTGCCTGGGGCTGGAAGACTGCTTCCAAGGTGGCCTGCTCACATGGCGGCCAAGACGGCTCTCCATGGTGGGAGTGCTCAAGCGTCCCCCCACATGGGTGCTCCGCGGGCTGCTTAAGGGTCCTTGTGGCATGGCAAGGACTTCCCCCAAGTGAGCAATTCACGAGACAAAGGCAGAAGCCACAATGCCTCTATTTATTTATCTAGAGTACCCGATGGGGTGGGGGGCGGAGGGAGAGGGAGACAGACTCTTAAGCAGACTCCTTGCTCAGCACAGAGCCCAATGTGGGGCTAATCTCACAACCCTGAGACTGTGGTGTGGACACCTAACTGACTGAGCCACCCAGGCGCCCCACCACTACTGTCATGATCCAGCACTGCAAGGTGCACACCATCACGGCCACAGAGTTCTCTTGGAAACACTGGTCAGCTCTCAGGAAGGGGACTGTCTGAAAGGAGACCGGGAGCGCGGGGGCCATTTCATAGACTGTCTACGTAAGGATACAAAGATGAGTACGATGAGCAAACTCCCTGCAGTGCACGTGTCTCGTGAATAAATTGGCGTGGGCTGAGCTTAGCATATGACTGTATTATCTCCAGGTTACCAGTTCTCCTGCCTAGGGAGCCCTCTTATCTCCAGTATCATCGTCACCATCACCTTCCTGCTCTTCATGGTACCAGCATTTATAACTATGAAGCACGATAAGCGTAGGGACGTTCTACCCTATGTCTGGACGTCGTCTGTGCCCTGGTGATACTGTGGGTGAGTATGTGCGATGGCCTTTATGCTGCATAGAGACTCCTGGAGAAGAGGATAGGCCTGCAGGAGCAAAGCAGAGATCGCAGGTATAGGGTGTGGCCTCTGAACATCTGAACAGGGCAGATACATAGTGACATCTTCCCTGATAGCTCCATCAGGCTCATCTCGGTGGCACATTCCTGTGGTTCTTTGTTGCCTCATCGGTTGTAATGTGTTCATTTGTACTCCTCGCCTACCTGACTCCATATTCCTTTATGTTGGGGACTAAGTCTTTTCCCTCTGGGGTATCTCTCTCCCCTTCTCAGCCAGTGTCCCGGGGAGGACCTGCGCTACACCCTTAAATGACGGATTTGACCGTCTTCAGTAGGTGGTCATCGACCGGGGTCTTTCACTGTTGTATCCCCAAGGCCTGTCATGGAAACTCTTTCAGAAATAAAGTTCTGTGAAGGTAGGAACTCTGTCTGTCTTGTTCACTTTGCCTCAAACAGCACTTGCCAAGTAAAGGCTTAACAGACATTTATTAAATGAAGGAGTGAGTGCTGGCGCTAAGTGGTGCTAAATCAGTACCTGGATGAGTTAACAAGTCTCAAATTGCCGTAGCTCCAGCCTTTCTCCATATTTAGGCCTAGCAAATCATTAAAACCACCTTTCATTTCTTCTGGGCCTTATTTTTGCCTTCTAGACCTTTCCCCAAAGAGGGTAAGAAAGAGCGCTAATTGGTAGCCAAGACTCGTGGGCTCCAAACTCTGGCTTTGGACGCTGTTATCTTGGAACCTAGACACAAAAAATTATCCTCCTCTGACTTTACCTGTAAGAAGGGGTGCTGAGTCCAAGGCTGATCCCTGATGGAGCTGCAGATCCAGGGAGAGCAGGTGTGGTGCCTCCGGCTCTAGTGGGATCTCACAGCCGACTGAGAGAGAAGAAGGGTGAGTGTGCATCATTAGCCTATGATTAATATATAATAATATAGTAATCACCAGGCAGAGCTATGTTAATACAACACTAGGCTGGAAATAATACCCACAGGAAACACCGTTTGAAGCCTCCCACGGCATCAGTAATTTGGCTCCTTGTCATGTTAGCTCAGGTGAGAGCAAGAGGACCCTGAAGACACTGGGGAGTCCTTCCGGTTCCTAACAGATGTATGCAGCCAAGAGCTGACTGACCCAGAGACCCGGCTTGCCTGGGGCATTGCTACCAGGGGAAGCCTCAGGATTTCTCTGCTTCCTCCTACCCTCCCTCATTTCATGCATGGAAATGAGAATGGGTCATTTCCATGTTTTCATGGAAAGGAGATGGGTCTCCATGGGCCAAGGGCAAGGATGGCTTGGGGTCAAGGTGCTACAGGTGTGGTCTCCTTTCCTCAGGATGGTGAAGCCCTAGGACCATCTTTCTCGCCCACCCATGAACTGTCCTGACCTGTGGATTCCTGGCAGGAGCCTTAAGAAAAAATGCTCTGCTTTCATTTTGAGGTCCTCTCTCTTCCGTGGCCAAGAGGGTATAGACCTAGAGAGAAAAGAAGAACACCTGCCTTCAGTCTTGGCCAAAGGGGACCTCTATGTGTGTAGACTGCTCCCCAGGGGCTGTTGTAGGGTTTGCAGCATGCACTTCTGGGAGCATGCCTCGGCTTAGGTTTAGCTTGCCCTCCACACGTACATCTCTCCCTGCGGGAGCACTATAGGGTTGGGATGCAGTTGACAGAGGCGTGGCACTGTGGGTGGAGGCCAGCCAGCTCCAGCTCCCTGGCCAAGCATCACGTTCCGTCTTCACATGCCTTCTGCACAGTAATAGGACGATACCTCACGTTCCAGGAGGTGTAAGTTTCTAGAGGTAGGAGGTAGAGTGGCTTGACCTCTCCGCATGACTCCCAAACTCACCGAGCCTTGCCTTTCCAGTTTTCAGCAGTTGCTTATGAAAATGACTCAAGTGAGAAGGAACAGTCTTTGGAGTAGGGCCAAGGCTGTGGTTGCCGCAGCAGAAGCAACACGGCCAAGGTTGAAGGCGTGAGTGGGTGGTGCTGCTTGGAGGACACAGGATGCGAAAGGTTAACAAGGGTTTGGGTGTGAGGGACCGCCCCGGCCCGACAGCTGATCTGGGCAGACCTGCCCGCCCATACCCCTCCTCCCCACCCTAGCCCCGTCACCTCCATCTCGCTTACTTCCTTGGAGCCAGAGTCCCACCTTCTTGGCTTAAACTTCCATCTCTAGAAGTTTCTCACCATGTGAGGAACAATCCTATTGCAAAAAGCGATCCTTTCTTCAATAATCTGGCTCGACACTCCGCGTATAACCGAGAGCCAACCTGACTGTGGCTCACTCGGTGCCAGCCTAGTGGGCAAGAAGCTACCCTTTGTCTTGTCTCCTTAGAGAAAGAGTGGGGGCACCCCGCCGGGGGCCCGGGGCGGGCGGGGGGGGGTGTGTGAGGCTCACTTCTCAGGTGTCCAACGTCTCGAGCCAGGCATATTCCCTGGGACTTGTTGCTGTCACTTTCTCTTCTTGGCCAGAGGAGATGCTCCCCAGGCCCGCTCTGCTCTGAGCCAATCACCACCTGTTCCATTAGGGCAAGAAAAGGCAGGGCTGGGGCGGCGGGGCGTCCAGAGGAGCAGACTCAGGCCAGCTTGGGAAAGCCGCCTGCAGAACTCCCCGGAGCAGCTCTGTCCCTCGAGGCCTGCTGTGGGGGGTAGGACTCCAGATTCCTGGCTGAGAGGGGAGAAAATGTAGCAACAGGCTTAGAGGCTCAGCTTAAGGCAGGTGGTACATGGCGGCCCCCGGGGCCCAGAGTCACCAGGCATCAGGTCACCGGGGCATCAGGTCATCGTGGCCAGAGGGGCAGGACCAGGCCACCTGCGGGCTCTTCTGTGCGAGGAAGGCCCACCCTGGCCAGCTCCGCCTTTCCCCTTTCTGGGCCAAGGGCTGGCTCGGGTGATACGGGTGATACGTTCCCTGTCAGCTGCCGCTGCGTCCCTGACACGAACCTTTTCTCGTCCCTTCCTGGCTTCCGGCTGGAAGAGCTCTGACCCCGGCTGGGGAGGAGGCGGCCTCCTGGGAAGAGGCTGAGACCCTGCGGTGTGGGAAGCTCTCCGCCACAGCCCGCCCCGCACGCCCTCCACCTGCTGTGCCTTTGGTGACCCCCAGGTGCAGCCACACGGTTTGGAATTCACCGAGACTAAATCGACAGCTCTGCTTGGGGCCAACAATGAAAAACGCATCCTACAGCTCTATGTCGCTTAATACGCTTGCTGTTAATCCCTGGGCACCTGCCAGCATGACCAAGTGTTTGCTATGACCACGTTACTGTCTGGGTGGGAAGCTGCTTCGCCCAAACTCTGGCTCAACCGATGGGGGAGAAGGCAGCTTGATTCGGAGGCACCTGCTATCTTCCCCTGACTCACCCTCTAGGATCCCGTAGCGCACGTGCCATCTTATGGCTCCTGCAGCTCGCGCTTCTCCAAGGTCTCTATCAGGCTGCTGTCCCTGCTTCAGTTGCCCCATGAGTATTGGCCACTGTCGGTTTATAACCATATCCTTGCCTGCAAGAAAGGGCCTGGGAGGTTGTGCTCCCCCAGCCCCCCCCCCAACCGTGGGATCTGATCAGACCAATGCCCATCACACAGGGCAACCCACCTTCTTCAAGATGGGACAGCTCCGCGGTGCCGGGAGTTCATGCTTCAGAACCTCAGGGGAGGGCAGGTGGAAGCTCAGCTTTAGCTAAAACCCCATCCTTCCTTCCCTGGCTTCTTCTCCCACCCATCATGCTTGCCTCACTTCTCTTAAGTTTGTTCTGAGAGCTCTCCATCAATAAGTCCCTGGCACAAGAATCCCCCTCTCAGATTCTGCATCTAGGGAACCCGACGATAGGCATTTTCTCCAGTAAAGGGTGTGTGTATGGGGGGACACTGAGGACAGAGGAAGAAAAGGAGAGAGATGGGGAAGAGAGAAAGAAGGAGAGGGGGAAAGAGAGAGGGAGGGAGAGGAGGGAAGGAGAGACTGAATCAGATTAATTCAATCTAGTGTCCATGAACCACACGGGAAGGGCCAGGAGAGGGGTTAGCATAGAACAGAGGCATTGAGGGAGAAGGTCCAGGAAGACCTCAGGGAGGGGACACCTGTCCTGTGTCTTGAAGGTTGAATGACAACAAATGCAAAGGAAAGGAGGAGCGCCGGAAGTAAAGGACAGAAATGGAGCCTCACAGTGTAGGCAACTTGCCTGAGTTCATTCAGTGGTGACACCGGAGCCAGGGTCCAACCCCATCTGTCTGCCTCCAGAGGCCTCCTTCCTTCCACGGGGCCTTTCTCCCTGTAGCTTGGCTGACTGGGTGGATCCAAATGCTTGTGCTCTCCATGCCCTTCCTGTCCCGCCACGTCAGGGCCTCGCTCACCTGGGCCTTGCGTGTCTCTGTGGGCATAAATGATTTGTACTCGTTAAATATCTGTTGTACTGAACTGACAGCAAAACTGCTCTTAATCCGACCTCACCTTGTCTGTCAAGACTGAGTGAAGGGAAAAGTCTCCAATCTAGAGATTTCAAGCAGAAAGAGATTTAATACAGAAACTTAGGGTCTTATGCATTTGTCAGAAGGATGAAGCAGATTCGGTGTGGAGATGAGTAGAAGGACTCCACAGCGATGCAGAATTAGGAATGCTGCAGCTCGGAGGTGCCCGTGGGCCTGAGCGCATGGAGGTTGAAGCTGCCATTGGCCCCAGAGAAACCTCTGGAGATCTGGGAGATGGGAGATGGGGGAATGGACAGCAGAATCCAGGGATTAAGCAGTCAGGTGAAGAGGCTACTTGGAAAATGAAGACTGAACACTGAAAACCCCTGCAAGACTATTATGACCTTGATAACCATCAACAGCCACACAAAGATCACCTCCATCTCCTGTCTTTCTTCCAAATCTTGTGCAAGCGCATGTAATGGATGGGATCTAATTCACATGGTGGGGGACAGAGCCATCCACAGCCTTCTTTTCTGTATCAGATGACCCTCTGTTGGCCCATAAGTGACAGGTAAGTGGCAAGAAATGCTCCTCAGTCCAAGCAGTTCTAGGTAGTGGGGTGTGGAGGCACAGGGGGCGTAATCGATGGTCCTCAGGCCCTTAAGGGAGGAGGGGTTGGAAAAGCTCCGTGTGAGTGAGAAATGGCAATAGATTACGTGGAGAAGTTTCAAACCGTGCACTTGTAGAACACGAATTCAGAGACTTCCTCGTTACGTGGGAAGGTTCAGATTCTAGTGCTGGAGCCAAGGCTCGGGTGTCGGTGCACAGGCATGCACAGCACTGAAAATGTTCTCCTCAGACCTTAGACGCATCATCATCTGTCGCGATCCCATTAACTCACTTTATTTTGGGGAAGGCTGAGGCTGGGGGGTCCCAAGAAAGAATTTTCCCACTGTCACGTAGGAAAACGAGTAGACAAAATTGGAGACAAAACCAAAATTGGGCTTTCTCCATAGGCTAAAAGCTATCTTAGCCATTTTTTAAAGATTTACTTATGTATTTGAGAGAGAGAGAGAGAGCATGAGTGGGAGGGGCAGAGGGAAGAGAGTCTGAAGCAGACTCTGTGCTGAGTGTGGAGTCCAACGTGGGGCTGGATCTCACAATTCTGAGATCACGACCTGAGCCGAAACCAAGGGTTGGGCACTTAAGTGGCTGCGCCACCCACGCGCTCCTGTCTTAGCCACTTCCAAGGCCTTCTCCTTGAATACAGGAGGTTAGGGTCGCCTACACGTCCTTCCAAGGATCAGATTATGCCCAGGCTCTGGGGCTTCAACCTTCATACGCAGTCCCACATGAGGAGCTGTGAGGACAAGGGTAAAACAGTGCTCCTTCCTGTAAGTGGCTTCAGTAAGATGTCCAACCATTTCCACTTACGACGGCCTTTCTTCTTCTTCATGCCAATTGGTGGACATTATAGGAAGGGAGATTTTGACTCTATGTTGACTTTTAAAGCTGTTCAGCCAGAGAACTGGCTGCTTGATGAGGGTCCTCCACTCCCCCATGGTGTCCCAGTGAACAAGTTCAGTAGGATAGACAGCCACTTGTTGAGCAAGTCATTAAGGAGATTTAGGCATTGAGAGAATCAAGAGGCAGTGGCCTCAAAATCTCCAAGGGCTTTTCTACTTCTGATGTTCTGTGTTTCTGTGGTTTGACCTAGATGTGGATGTGCCATGAGGCCAGTGGAGAGTAGATAAGCTTGGCCTCAAGGGCAGGGGGCTGTATGCTCGGAGGCCTTGGGCATGTGCTCAGGCTGTTTTGAACCAGTGGTCCCATTCTGCCTCTGACATTCTCTTTGTGTCCCCATATCTGTGCCTGGTGGGATTAGGCTGGTGGCTGTCAGTCTGCGTTGGCTTCTGTAAGCCTTGGCATCTCATTTTCTATTGTTTGGGGCCTCAGGTGCAGATGTGTTCCAAGCTCCTCTGAGGATGGAGGTGTAGAGAAAGCCCAGCTGAGTTATAATGGGCCCTGTCTGGTGTCGAAGTGACTGGGCATTTCTCCAACGCCCCCAAACAGATTAGCAGGCAGGGCATGTCCCATAGGCGTGGGAGCCAGAGTCCTACACAACTGGCAGAAGGGCTTCTGCTGGAGGTGTGTGTCATAAGCGTGTTGGGCTCATCACACCATGAGTCACAGGCAGTGCGTGCTCTTGAGTGTGCAGCTCAGAGGGCAGGTGGGAAGGAGGCTGGTGAGGAGCTAGAATTCTGTCCAAAACTTGGCCAAAACATGCTTTCTCTGGTTCCAAAAGGGCCCCCTTCTAGCCCATTTTGTGTGTACGTGCCGCCATGTATGAATGTGTGTGTGTGTGTTTACACATGTGTAGACATAGAGTATCTAGGTTTATGTCAAACTATTTATGTGTCTACATATGAATATCTCTGCGTGGCCCAGGGCACTTCATGCACATGCTCATCCATATGCCTTCCTGCGCACGCATGTGCATGTGTGTGGGTTGTGCTTGTGTGTTTGCTGCCAAAATTTGGGTAGGCAGATTTCTCTGCTGGGCCTTGCCTTGGGCCACTGGTTTCCTAGA